TGGAATTGTCTGAAAAATGGTGGTTAATCATAGACGGTCTTAGAGGATACATCCTGTATACACGCAACATAATATTTATATTAAACATATACATATATAATACATATATTTAACTTAATTATATATATTTAATATATTAATATAATAATAAAAGATATAATATTAATATAATAAAAAAAATTAAAATAATATATATATGTATATTAATTTAATTATAATATAATCATGATAATACATTCCAGAAATAGATAATATATATTATTTTTATTCATCTATTTATCATTAACTTCTACATTTTACTAACATTCACATATTGTTAACACAAACCGATCAAAGTGTTCACATACTTTTCGATGACAGTGTATCTTTATAGCTTTAGATTGAACTTTCTCAAATATCCAGGATTTTTTTATTCAAATACGTTACCGCCTGTCTCCTCTCTTGTTTTTTTACTGTTCAACATTTTTTTATTGCAGCACAGCCGATTGAAGAAATATAACAATAGCCTTTCCTTTTTTTTATTTCCCTTAATATTTTTTAATGTATTTATACTAATAAAATTTTAATACACGAATCGCAAAAGTTTATAATTGAAAAACGTGGAGATAAAAATAAATTATACTACCACTATAGTAGTGTTCTTTTAATTTAATGAAAAATTTCGTTTTTTGATATTTATAGATATAAAAAGTTATATAACGATGATGAATGGTTTTAAAAAGAAACAGTGTGAAAATGTTTGCCACCTATAGAGGTTCTAGTTACTTCAAGGTACTCTCCTCCTGCATATTTTCACTTACAATTGCACGAGGAGACCGCAAGTCTTCCCGAGTGAACTTAGAAAGCACCGGTAGCATGTTGCCATATACGAACCTCCCTGCACTCTCTAACGAAGATAAATATTGTAATGATATTGATAAACAGATTCTTTCGAAAGGTATATCTTTTGTAAATACATATTTCTTCTGAGTTTCTGTTAGAAAAAGGAGGTACAGACTTGCTCTGCTAGCCTTTCTTAATCTTCCTTCAATTTCATCCTTGTATATGTATATAATATCACACCAGTTCTAAGAGATTATGTAATATACGCGTTAATTTATCTTTCAGAGTCGTAGATAGATAATAACTTTAGAGCTCGAAGGGTCGGTGTGAGATACAATAATATTACATGAAAGCATTATCATTAAGAACATTTAAAAGTCAGTTGCTTGCAAAGAAGTATTATTCAATTGACGATACAATCGCGTAGATCTGTAATAATAATAATTTTTAATATTAATCGAAAGATTATACTATAAAGCTGTCAAAAATATTTAAAAAGATGCAGTAGGTGATTAGTTTAAGAATTAACTCTGTCTTTATTTATTTACTGTAGTTTTCTTTCTAGCGAATCAAGAAAAAATCATATAGACGAGCGCTTATCTTCTTGTGTTATCTTGTTTGGCGTATGCTGACTATATATCTCCACATCGTAATCAAACATATTTTTTGAGGAAGAGAACCTCTGTACATTTATTTAAAAATATCGTAATAGATAAAGTCTCGAAAATGCGCATGTGCAGCTTGATGATCATTTTTCACAAAAATAGGCCTAGCTCGTAAACTAATTATGAATAACATATTTTTAAATACTTTTGAAAGTTCACGTAAAAAAATTTACGCGATTCCATCGTCAATCGAATAATATTGGTTATTAGTCGGTAAATTTATTCGTCATGTTATAGTATGGTATTACCGGTAACAATAATTACGCATATTTTGTGTCGAATTGTTTTACTCGTGGCGTACTTAAATTTTTAACGCCGTTTAATCCCGTGAAAACGCGATCGAGGCTTCGATGTTGTGTTAGTGTTAACTCATTTAACGAGTGATTATCATCGAATGATGCTTACTTGCATTGTAATTTGGTTAGTTTATTATTCGCACTAAGTGTAAGTGGTCTTTAAGCTATCCGTGTTCTCAAGTGCTTTTTTTAAAGCGCAAAATGTTTATTGTAATCATTCGTACGATTCTCATACGTAAAATAAAATCTTGCACCCACGCTTCGTTTCCTTTTTTTTTTTTACCTTAGTAGCTATTATTATTTTCATCTCTGCACGCCCTTTCAATTTAATCTCTCCAATTCCTTTGTTCTTGTGAATTGTCTGAAGATGATGACGTAAAAGCATCCGAAAGGTAATCAACTTCAGTAGAACGAATTAAATTCCGTTTTTCTCCGATTTTAACAGAGAATCGATCTTAACTACCTATCCTCCGCGGCTTTTAAAACTCTATATACTGTATATATGTATATTTGTACTTGTATAATGTAGGTACATGTACTACTTCTCAGAGATTAAAAATGTTTGCTTTATACTGGTTTAATGGGAATATTCGCTGTAATTGAATATTGGCAAATGTTTCGTATGCTTTCTTTCTTCAAGAATATATCTAGATAATGTGCATTAAAAAGTACCTTGTTGCACAAGTGCTTGTTATACTATGATTGTATTAAAAAATTTCACGAGTCAACATTAAACATTGCGATAATTTCGTATCATGCCAAGTTCAAAACGACAAAAGTAGATTTAGAATAATAGAATTGACGCCGTCAATATCCATTTATGCGTTCGAGCAATGAAAAAAAATTATAAACTAATCATGTGAGTATCTTTCGACTTACATATCTTTTGTATAACGGTAGGTATAGCGGCTCACGAAAATGTCTTTATAAATATCTATATTATTATGTTACATAACATATTTTGACGTTTCATCAGATCAGCATTATAATGAGACTATGTTGTAAATCTTATGATTACATATATTGGTAAAGTTTGAAACAAATCTAGAAATATTTGGAAATATATGTATATGATATAGAAATTAAAAGATATTTAGTAAAAAAAAAGGTATGAATTTGTAGAGGTCACAAAAATATTTAAGCGGTGAATTTACATTGTATTAACATGCCTGAATATCAGTGGGAGCATCTTCAACAGGTACTTATTATTTATAACAATGTGTTGAAGATAAAATGATTCGAATTATGCTATATACACTAACTTTTTTTACTAAATATATGTTGCAATTTTAATACCTACGTACCTACACTTCGAGATCGGTTTTAAATTTTACCAATATAATTATGATAATCGCGTTGTATTATAATGTTAATGAAATTTTAAAAATTTTATATGTATAATATGCACAATATACTCACACATAATTATTTTCTATGATACGCGCCCAAATATTTTCGTGAATCGCCATACGTGTATAATAAACTAATTTTATTGAATCTCCCCTTTGAGAACCACGTCTTTCATGGGGTGCAGTGGTTCTTTTTCCTTTGTTGGAGAATTTACTGAAAGAGTGCGAAAAAAGAAATTACCGACGCAACGACGCGTCCGCAAAGAGCCTGAAGATAACGACGTTATGTTATAATATGGCCTCTTAACGGCCAAATTACCAAGCAAAAAAAAAAAAAAAAAAAGAAATGAAGAACCATGTGAATTAATGGCCGCGATCGTGAGTTATTAATGATTAATTCCCGAATTTATCTCGGTTGCCTGTTATTCGTTGGTGTGTTCTTCCGAATTTATAACTCTTGTAATAAGAGTAATTTATCACTTGGCCAACGAAGGCCATGAGAAAGAGTAGCAAAAGCGAAGAAAGAACAGGGAAAGAGCATTGACCAGCTGCGGCTCTCGTCTGTAATTTATTTACAATATCTTTACGCGCAGAATGACGCTGATACTTGATTTAAACGTAATTGATCTTGCTTGGAAATAAACAAAGAAAAATGAGCAAGTGGCCGTTCAATGCGGTGCCGTTACAAAAATTCTCCAAAAATATAATACATCTTTCTGCCTTAAATTACAATTACAATACGTCTCATAAATATAAAACTGCCGTAAAATCTTCAATATGAGAAAATTTGATTAGAATCATCTATGTGAAATCAAACATTTCAATTTATAAAAATTATTGTTATAATTTCATTTCATTGCGCTCTAAGCTCAATCTTTGTTTACATATATTTGTATAAAAAAGGTGTAACACGTTGCAAGAATTCATGTTCGATATTTTCAATAGCTTTTGTATTAGCAAGACTTATTTTTACAAGTAGCAGTTTCACCTCATCTCATATGCAAAAACTTCATTCCACATTTTCGACTTATTCTTTCGCCAGGAATTACCTTTTCTCTGACTGTACCTCGATTGTACAGACATCCTGCATAGGTATAACGAAATACATAATATGAATACGTATTTTATACAATAATAGACGCACAATACTGTTCTATGAAAATTAGCAATGGATTAACTTACACACTACCACGGTATAATCGGAGGTAAAAAGTTACAGTTATTTACGACACTTTTACGGAGGTAGTCATTGAGTAAAAGTTAATTTTTGTTTAAGTAGAAAACATCGATCGCTAAATTTTAAAGAGATTCTCTAAAAAATGAAATTATTAAAAAATAATAATATTTAAATGTTCTGGTTACGACTTAGGTATATCGATTATGTTAGAAATAATTACAACCTTTTTCATGATTGCTGATTAGTGGTAATCATTATCGACGACGGAAGTTGCTTTTAGCCAGCATCAACCAACGAATGCTTTCATTGTCGATAATAACGATTAATCGTTGCCAGTAACCAAAAAATATTAATCACTTATAATGATTATTCGTACACTTTTCAATTTGAGCAGTTATGATACCGCAGATTGTACATACATACCTACATATACATATGTATTAGATAAACAACACACAAAAATCGAAAGCTTTTCAGTGATTTTATACTTATGAGACGCAATGCATTATCTCTGAAATAATTGGATATAAAAATATCAGAAAATCACGACACGCTTGAAAATAAAAGCGTATACGTAACACCTAATAAAGGAATGAAAAGAGATCGAAATTTAACAAAAAAACGCTTTTCTTCCCTTTGATCGGAGATACGGTAAATATTCTGGTTCGGAAGTGATGTAAATTGTTCTCAGGTGTTATGATAAGGTGCGCTTCTTCCCGGCGCCCGAATACTCAGTCTGGTGCAAAGCGAATAACACGCTACACGGTCCAGGTGACGTGGAATACGCGGTCGCCTGCTGCGACCACTCCGACTTCTGCAATCGCGACCTAAGGCCCTCTTTTACTCCTCGCGAGTCCAGAGGTGGGCCATACTTCCGACTCGTCGATTACCTCGAACGAGGTACAGCTTCCGCAACCTCTGTTTCCTTCCAAGGTCGATCGACTATAGGCGAAAGCGAATGCACAATTCCTATGAAATTTGAAATTGTTAATCTGTTTGTTGTTCGGAGAAATTAATTTATTCGTTGTTTCGGTTTCGCGGCAAAATTCTCTCGACTTCACTCTTTCAAGTTGATCAAGTTGATAAATGCAATATGAGTACGAATTAACTGTACTTACACATGACACTACTTCGCTAACTATTAAAGAACAATTACGATCACATTTCTTTAGGTAGAATCTTAGCAAATAGCTAAGAAACAAGCGTAATTTTTTAACTTGATAATATATAAAAATAAAATGAAGAGAATAAAGGTATTAAAATTGATCGATGAACGAAAAAAAAAAAAAAAAAGAAAAATCGAAGTAAGTAAATATAACTTTTGATGTATTTGCGAGACGCGAATAATGAATTCTATCTTTGTCTTACATATTGTGGAAATATCTGTTTTCTTGCTGCTTAAATATAGATATCTATCTATGTATATTATATATTGGTATTATGATTAAACATGATGGTGATGTCGCGTCATGTGTCTAATTGTTGAATCAATAAAATCGGGGACAGAAACCAGAAATTTCGGCATAGTAAAAGAAGAACTGAACTAGTGCATATTGATCGATTTACATTTTCAAGGCGATAGTGACACACGATATTCAATATCTAACGCTGAAAGTTAAAAGTAATCAATATTATATATTCTTATCTTCATCAATAGATACTTTTGCGTAGAAATCGGCAAAAAAAAAATTATTTTAAATTGTAATAGTATATTCTTTTACTTACTGTAATCCTATCTAAATAAAGAGAATCTTCGCAACGACGACCTTGGAAAAACATGTGCGATAAAAATAGAATAAATATAAAAATGAAGTAAACAAAAAGAAAAAGAAAAAAAGAATTTTGGGCTTTTAATCATCGATTTTTGATGCTTTTTGTGAATTGTCTGGGTTCGGGTGATCATCTTTGTCACATACACATTACATGTCTATACATGTTCTTTGTAAGTATATACATGTTATCTTTGTTCATGCGTCCCGTTTCACTATATCGAGCTGACATAATGCAGCGACCGCGAAACGAAACACCGTGATTCGTTTACAGCCCGCGTTTCCCTTGTCAGAGAACTGTTTGCGAAGCTTGAAATTCAATATTTTGCACCGCTATTGTAAGGCCGCTGTTTCATTGCATAACCCGATGATACATTCTATTTACATTATGATAACTTACGTTCGTCTTTTGCAAATGTATCACGCGATTTATCTATGGTGAGTAACGAAAATATTAGAACGACGTATTAGGAAATAATTTACTATGGAAAAATTCTTGAAATAGATTTATGTTAGTACCTATATATTATATAGGTACATTCGCAAATATCTGCTAAATGTTCATAAAGTTAAAGTAGAATTCAATAATGTGCGAGCAAATTGCACATTTATTACGATCACTTTTATTTCACATTTTGTAGAAATAATATGTAATAACAGTATTCTAACATTATGTTGTAGAGTCCATAATATATGAATAGATATATGTATTTAGCCAATGGCCTAAGATAAAAAAGTTTGTTCAGTATGCCACTAATAGTACTTGAGAGTAAATGGAAACGAAAATTTAAGTGTCCAAATATTTTGCACAGTAGTCCAAGTAAATACTTGTAAATTATCGCAAGCATATTGAGCAACGATATAATGAAATTAATCGAACAGCATTTCGTTATTATCGGGATTTTTCACTATCTGCATAAGAAATTGTTATTGTTATTGTTCTGTGTCTTATTATTTCTACTATCTTGCTGCATATTCTTTCCGAGATTTTTGTTGAGATCAAATATTTGCAATATTTCTTTGCTGTTATACTTTTCTATTATGTTGTATAGCGAATCTTTAGTATCGCAACGAATTTATTTTTGTTGACATTTTAGTTAAAATTTTCCCTTGAAATTGTTTTGCTACATAAAATTAAACGATAGTAATTAAATATTCGATATCGAAAATTTTTTACTTTTTATCGTAAATTTCTCAGTTTTAATTTTTTTCTAACACAATTGTTAAAAAATAATAATTAAATATTCGATTGACCTTTCGACCTTTCATTTGAAATCCTTTCGTTCTGCTCTTCTTGCGACATAGAAATATTAAAAAACTTAAGAATTACGTGCTTAATTAATCATTTAACTTTTTATTTTCTGTTTCCATTTTCTTGTAACGTAAAACGTATTAAAAAATGAATTTATTATCGCGTTAGGTTTGAAATGTGCAAAACCATACTTGTGTGAAATTTCAAATAGTAGATTGTTCAAATAGCGATGTCGAACGGGGACATTGAAACGTCATTTAGAGAGAAATTGGAAAAATGAAGCTAGTACAACTGAAGGTAAAAGCCAAACATCTTCTCGTTTCATCGCCACGATTCGCCATTCTTTGTCACGAATGTCACGAATGTCACGATGCAACGACGATGACGATATGTTGCGTCATCAGATATGTAAGTACATAGATATGTATATGTCTATTGTCCACTGCCGGAGACAAGTCCCGCGAAAGGAATGCGGACCCAATTGGTTATTTCTGACAGACTCGACTCAATCGTAAAGATAAGCACGCGGAATGGCCGACAGTGTCACATATACTAATATTACAATATCCATATGTGAGCAATAGAGAGCAGTGCTCTCCTTACCCCTGTGCCACGCCATCCAGCGGGACTTGTTTCCAGCAGCCCAGTATACGTGATAGTAATGTGCGTGTAATAGTAGTGTACGGCGGTTATGGTCGCTATGCTATTGACTCTTATTACAAAAACGATGTTGTAAAAACGCGCTGTCAATGGAATAAAAGGAGAACCGCCTCACGCTTATCTCCGCCGAGCTGTTTCAAATACAGACTAGCTAAAAATATTTTGATTTGAAATGCAGTTTTTATTTTACATATATCTCGATCGTACGTTCGTCTCGAGTTTAATTATCACACATTCTCCATGTCGAGTGTCTTGGAGCAAGTGTCAGAAGGATATTTTATATAATAAGAATATTAACCTAGCTCAAAAATAAGTAATCTGTACAATTCACAAATAATTTTGCAATAATATAAAGTCGCAGTAAAGAGTAGAACTAGGTTAAATACATAGATAATAACTTATAAGAGGTTATAAAAAGATTCTGAAATAAAATTCAGATGATTCTCTTTTCAAAACTTCCTTTTAGGTTTGGAATAATTCTTAATTCTTTGCCATATATTTTATGCCGAACAGACTCGGATAAACTTAATGTTTCGTCTTGTTTGAATCATTTTAGTTCTAATATATCCACTTATATTAACACTAGATTTACGGGCATTTTGTATATACCTATCTCTACGAGCACCCATCAAATTGACGGATAAACGAAAATACGCATTTTTCTTTAAAAAAATCGATTTATTCAAATTAAGTATGAAAGGAACGATATTAGGCTTCACGTTTAAATAAATTATTAATAAATAAAAAGTCTTTTTTTTAAATTATCACTAAAAAAATAACAATAACATTAACACTAGGTTTACGGGACCCGCCAATTTGACGGATTTCGAACTTCGAAATGAAATATCTCAAAAAATCTTTCAAGAAGTTTTCCTCTTCACTATCCGAAGATCCTTCTGTCTCTCCACTTTCAGTGTATTCAGAACTTTCACTGTCAGCTTCGCTTTGGCCTAATTCATATTGATCTTCTACGGAGGTATCCTCAGAACAATCTTCATTGATGTTGACAATTTTATTCAATATCTTATTATATCTCCTGGACTTACTCATAATTGCTGGAAAAGGGGGATTGGTCAAAAAAAGAAAATACTGTGCCCAAATTCAATTATCCTATTGTAAATACTTACAATAAGCGGAGACAATAATGGGAAATGTCTACAATAACTGAAACTTTTGCACACTGTCTTTGAAAAACGATTACACTGTCTTTGAAAAACGGTTTGTTTCTGAAATCAGTTAGCCCGTCAATTCGACGGGTCCCGTAAAGATAGGTATACTACATACAGATTTCAAAAATTGGGAAGTCTAGGAAAAAATAATTTTGTGTATAAATTCTTTAGATGAAATGATTAATTTACGATGCAAAATGGTTAAAATTGGTGTTATGGTTTTTGAGATATTTCATTTCGAAGTTCGAAATCCGTCAAATTGACGGGTCCAGAAAACCTGGTGTTAAAAGTGCATCTCCTATCTGTAGTAAAATCGTCACAGTGCCAGAATATAAAATATCAAAATAATTAACGAAAATATGAAAAGACTATATTTTTAGGAATAATTGAGTAAATACCTAACATATATTGTATATTAAGCATAAAGTCTGATCTATTTGTAAAAGTTTGAATCAGCCTAGTCTTTAGGGTGAGTAGGATGAAACAAGTTTCCATCTTTTTACAGCCTCTTATTTATTCAAAATACAACTACACACATACGTTACACACAAGCGTTAATTCTATGTAAATTTTATTCCACCTAGATATAAATGATAAACAAAGTTTTCTCGATATACATACATATGTATATATAAGTACAGTTTATACAGCTTTTTAATGTATACGAAGTAATACAGGCTGCAGTTTCTATCCATAACTATACGTATATCATTTACCAGAAATATTACTCTATCAAATATATAGATATGTACATATCAATTTAACGCTCATTCCTTCAAAATACTTCAAATTCAAAAGTCATTCATTTAAACTTGCGAAGTCGAAATTTTGTTTTTCGCGAGAAAAATTATTTGTTATTAGTTATTAATAATAAAAATAGAATTTTTTCTTGCTTTCATAAAAAAAATATAATGTACGAAAATTTAAAGTCGATTTTACCGAGAACAAATTTATAGTTTATTTACCGTTTAGTCGATTAATAACTTATACAAGCATGGAAGGATTAACCATATCGTTTAAAAATATATACGTACTACTTTTTAGTTGTCTTTGGTCAATTATTTGAGTCGACATATCTGGGTAAATAAAAATGAGGATACAACCCTCATAACTATCTTATTCATTTACGATTTGGGAAGAGTATGCTACTGGCGTAACTGTCACGAATCGGACAAACAACCTCTCTATATACAATATATGTATGTATGTATGTATATATATAATATTATTGTCATTGGCAAGTGACCGATACATAAGCTTAACAATCGTATGAAAAGTAGATAGAAAGGAATGTAATGGAGAACAGGACGGCATGGCAAGGTTGAATAAAATGGACGACAACACGACACGCTGTACATAGAATAACGAAGCGTATTCGTACGATATTGACGGAGGGTTGATAGAACGTATCGAAAGCGGTGTTCATCGATTATACGGGTTCCACTAAATCCGAGGGAGAGTAAGCTAGTTATTCGAGTGAGCTTTCACTGCAACGATTTGTTTCGGTTCGGATATACGTCTGTAAATAGCGTTGCTCAGCAGGTATTTTTCTTTTTCATCTTCTCTTTCTTCTGTTTTTTATCAATATTATCGCCCGATCGTTATAATATAACGATTATTATTAAGTTATGTTATAACTACCAATCGATTGGGAAACTTGGCACATAAACATAGAATTATAGAAAAATTGGTTTACGTTCAGATAAAAATTTAATTTAGATTTAAATGTAAGATAGAATACGAGAACAGCGGCCTAATATTCATTAATCATTCACAGTGCGCTATATTTTCGAATTATTTTATGCTACAGTAATGATCTGTGAATTGCTACATTAATGCTATTATATTTGGCTATGGCTATTATAGTTGAAATTGTGATTTTAACGATGCGAATTACAGAAAATGTGGTTTTGAGAAATGCTTATATTTGTAGGAAAGTAACTCAATGACTTGGAATACTTAATTGAAAAATATAAAGATAGAAATGTATAAATAGACGAATAAATATATATATTGAAGAAGAATGAGAATAGTATTTAATTGTTGCATGGCACTAATGTCGCATCAACGTCAACGGTCGCTATTGCCATAGCCATAGGCACTAATGTGGCAAATGATGGCATTAAATCACTTTACTATTGTAAATGCAAGTTTTTGGATTTTCAGTACTTAGATAAACTTGTTTTGTAGTATTAAGCAGAAAATATTATTTAGTAAAAGTAAAAGTAACATGTAGTAGAATCAACTCGTTACATTGAAAGTAGTCTAAATGATCATTAATAAACCAAATATGTTTTATTGGTTATATGCTGCTACATACTTCTACATTCTATGCACAGAATTTCTTATTGTTATAAATGTAGATATATCTACTTTATTCTATGGTATTCTTTGCTTTTAATAAATTTTCTTAATAACAGGAATTTGCTTCTGCATCTTATAAACATAGATTTAATAATGCTCGTATTTTTTTAATAAAAAATTTATATATTTAATAATATTCAATAATACATTATTCGAAACAAGTGTGCCATTAAAAACTAGCAGTAACGAATAACAAAAACTTGTATTAGTATACAAAGAGATCCATTGCTAACCTAATAATTCACAGAAATTGTTTCCTCTGCAGAAAAGCACTCGTTGATCGATGAATTTCAACGATAAAGCAGTATTACAACATTTTCTAAAATTTTCTAAACAATCACGGAGTTGTTTGTTATATTTATGTACATAAACGGTTATGCAATAAAAAGAAAGTTCGATATTCGCGGAACATTTGACGCGTGAGATTGTATGCTTGGTTCAAAATGACATATATCGTGTATTACGGTCGATTTAAGGATGGGGGCACGAGTTCATGCACTAACATTACGCGTTAGCAAGATACTGGTTTTTGCCAATCTTCATCGGACATCCTCTGGACGTGCAATCATTCATCTGTGACTCGTCTGTCTCATCGTTATTCGTCATCTCATCGAATATCTCGTGGGAATCAATTTGATGCCTTATCGTGAAATTGCTAGATGGATGCTTCTTGCGCGGACGCCAGTTCTGTGATCGATCCGATTTCACGAATATTTGTTCCCTGTGGCGAAGCACAGCCGTTCGTTCCCATCATCTTTCCACTTCCCCTGCAGTATGCCTCGAAAAAATTGAAAATTACGGTAATAGTAAGGTGTGTAGGTATCTATAACATAATACAATAGATTCCTATATAGTTCCATTTGTTTTCAATATCAATATTCAACTCAATATCGATTATTTAATTTGGCTCAGAGTTTGATTCAAAAGCGCTTGTATCGAAATTTAAACGGAAAGCAACTTTTTGTTTTAAACTTCGATTCAAAGAAATTGTCCATTTTTAAATTTGCTACATAAATGATTTTTCCTTTCGTAATTTGGTTCTAAAATGATCATTCATTATTCATCTTTTAAGTCGACTCGAAAGCTAAAGCGATTATTCGCTTTGAAATTCGATCTATACTGTTTCAAATCTAATTCGAAGGTAATTCTCGATTTTTTCAAAAATATCAAACACTCCTAATAGAAATATTCCAAATTTAACCTCGTGTTCTTCCTAATGTGATCCGTGTGGTTTTTCGAAGAATAACCGATTAACAGCATCCGTATGAAGGAAATCATATTCTTTATGTAGCAGAATCAATCATCAGGTAAGTGAAGCTGGGAACAGTACGATACGATGATCCAGACATCGTGAAAGGAGCGTTGCATCTACATGATGACACGATGACTCATGCGCGGGTTCCGTCATCGTTGTACGAGTAGGTATATGCACTAACCGGACAGGTAATGCAAAGAATCGCTCGTTTTGACGTGATGGAAAGAGGCAGAATCATCGAGAGGATGTTATTTCATTATAGTATGTTGATACTTTCGATGCTTTATTCTCGATCGAATTCGTTATTTTTCTTTTCTTTTTTTTCTTTCTCTATACTTGTATCTATATAATACAGACTGATATGAAAAGAATAAGGTACGATACGAATCGTGTATCGATCGTTGAAGTATTTATAAAGAATTGGAAAAGAGTTTGTCCCTAGTCCTGACCTACTGACCTTCTGACATCTAATTGTAAACTACATGCTTCTGTTGATTTAAAGTTTAAACTAAGCTGTTGCAACTCATTGCTGTATACTTCTGGGTGTGCTCATCATTTAGCCTTAGCATGTTTCACGAAGATGTTTCTGCATCTCTGTTGTTTCCCAAGCTTAACACATGTACCTCTTGATTTTTATTCCGAAAATGGCTTCGCTGGCTTTTCAAATCATTCCAAGAAACCTGTTACGTTCAATCTATTGGATTCGTTTAACTTTGTTAGCTTGATCATACTTAGAGCTCGAGCTTGTTTTTTTTGTACAGTTGAATAGTTCAGTTTACAAACTATAACGTTTCACAACATTTTTCAACTTATCTTTAAATTGTCTCTAACTGATTAATATAAATTGATTCACGGGATATTTAGCTACGATAACAAATGTTAAATTTTTTTTTCATCGAGTTAAGAAGTCTTATTTATACACATAATTGTCTGTAGATACGTGTATACTAATTCAAATATTATAATAAATCTCCGTGTCTTTAGCTTGGTTATATATCGAATTGTTATTAAAAAAAACTATTTAGCAGTTAACTTAAAAATATGTTGGATAATAGAATAGAATAGAAAGATCAACACATCCACTACGGATCCAATATTCATTACCTATCTACGATACTGTAGACTGTAAGCTAATAGTTAATTTTCATGTAATCTTTCATGCAAATCTTTTCTATAATTTCATGATTTTCAATTTCACACTGAACGCGTTATTATCTAATTAATCCTGAATTTTGTTAAATTCTTTGAAACCTGACAGATTACAAAACCTTGACGTGGAACAAATAGTTTCAAAGGTACTAAATGAGAAATGAAAACATTTATAAAAACAGACAGTGACAAAACAGTAGAAGATTAAAAATGAATTTAAAACTTGTCAACATTCTATTTACTTTCGTTAAAAAAGATGTGTATTGTTATTTTATATTAGATAAGTATAATAATAGTAAAAAATTAGAAGGTCGAAAGTTAGCGATAAAACTATGGTTTGAACGTTTTATGTTTCTTGGAGTGATCTGTCGCGTAAATGATTCACTATAAAATGATAATGAAGTATTTGTTGGGGAAAGTGCGGTCGGGTGGCGATGACACGGCGTGGGTCACTTGGAAAATGGCCTTGATGATAGCAATGCCAATATGCGTGATCTGCGTGGTGGTTATGGTCATTTATCACGTGCGTAAGACCCCAGAAAGGCCAGGAAATAGCGATGATTCGCAGGAGGCACCAGATCGACCCATCCTGGGTGGTGTTACCATCAGGGATATGCTGGAAATGACTACCAGTGGTAGTGGCTCAGGTAGGTCAAATTAAAGTTCTATGTATATTAATCAAACTTGTTTAACTTTCGCTATGCACTAAATTCTATATTAATCAAGTTTCATTTTTCATGTTCACTATGTACCTAGCAATGGATATTTTATAACTAAATCAGATTTGTCTGCGAAAATAGATGTCACATTTAAATTTGTTTGCGTTGCTGAAAAGATGACTAGCGTAAGGAATGCGAGCTTGATTGGCTGTTTCGTATAAATTCTACACAATCATAAAGATAGCATGCGTATTGGCCGAAAGTGTCACATATATAAATAAAACAATACAGGGGAATACCATCGCCTTGCCCCCATCGCGTTAGTCTTCTTTTCAACAGTGCATAGTACATATATGTATATCGAATATAATTGCAAATTTAACAATAATTCAAACAGTGGATTGCTACCAGTTAGTCTGTTACTTCTTTTTATTTTACACGACACTCCATCTGGACTATAGTTGTATTGATATTAATTTCAAATACGTACATTAAAGTCCAGATCGAAGTTCCGACATTTATTTATATTATACTTTCCAAAAGTATATTTATTTCTTAAAAGTGTATTTCTTTCACAAAATTTCTTTGTATTGTAAACTGTAAACGGCTTTCAAGTGTACCAGGCGTGATGGCTATTCAATATAATCCAGTTACGATAAAATGCTGCGTGTGATGTGGGCCACGAAGAGATTAAACTGTCCTATTATTGTATCGTATTCTGTTTGAAACTCATACATTTTTACATAGAGAGTTTAACTACGAAAGGGTTCAATTATGTTGTTACTGTATCATATCCTATTTAGAATTCGTAAATTTTCATACAAAGCACATTATTAGTGTCGTGCACACGAGAGTCATTTTCAACTATACTGAAATTCGTGTTCTTCAATGCCCATCCTCTCCCAAGTAGGCCTGCCGCTTCTGGTACAGCGAAGCATAGCCCGCCAGATTCAGCTGGTGGAGACGATTGGAAAAGGTCGCTTCGGCGAGGTCTGGCGTGGTCGTTGGAGAGGTGAGAACGTTGCCGTGAAGATCTTCAGCTCGCGTGAAGAAAGGTCTTGGTTCAGGGAGGCCGAAATTTATCAGACGGTGATGCTCAGACACGATAATATCCTCGGCTTCATCGCAGCTGATAACAAAGGTAGGTACAAATTTGCATACAAGTGCATAAACATCGCGTCGAATTGGAATTCGAACAGTTTTAACTGTCGGTTACTTCACGACTAAACGACTAATTTAACGACTTTAACCTTTTTGAGACTAACGGATAATAATTACTCGTTAATTCGGATAGCAACGAATAAGAATTGGTTGCTAGATTATAATGAACATATTCCTTAGTGTTAAGTATACATGCTATGTATACTACATAGTAGAATTAAGTTATTATACAGTCAAGCTTTTTTCAATAAAATTTCCCTTGTAGACAGGGAAAGGAATGTATTGGATCTTCATATGGGATTATGATTATAGATATTATGGTTACTAAAATTTCCACATATCATGTACGGTGTAGGTATCTGATTTAGTAAGTGTAGCAATTTATTACTAGTTAATGCTTGTGAATTAACCAAGTATTTCATATATTCACTATACTTGTAAATTTTTCGCCCGATATAAGCTTCCACTACTACGGTCTCAAAGATAGCGTGGCTTTTCTTCGCTAAGAAATTTGTTATTAACATAAGTGGCTAGATCTCCAGTAGCGCTGAATGATTCTATTTATCTTAAGTCTTCGACCGTTTTTAATGCCGTATCGGATTCAGTTCCCCGTTTTAATATATTTTAATATTAGTATCTATTACTTGCTTATTGGAGCTTTTTAATGGTTCTAGTTATTCCATATTTAATGGAACTCTGTCTCAGGTTTGGGCAGGAGATCAGAACTCTCATCAGGTTTGGGTATGGTGTAAACGGTTAATGAGATTGTTCCCATTGTCTGTATATTCTTTGCCTATTTCCGATACATTTTCTAAAAAAACTGCATAGCTGCAAAGAGTTCAGTGAAAATTATTTTGGATTGCATTGCTTTATTGTCTTAATTGAATTCATAATAAATTGATCAATGTTTGGTACCGGGCATAAAATTCAAAACTTACTCCTGAGTTTCTTTTTGGTAGGTTTCGCCTATACGTGACAAGTGATATGATACTTGCGAGGTTCTCCTCATTGCCCATAGCATGAATTATCAGATTGAACTTGGATTCGATCGATCAGGAGTATTTGATAAGATAGAATTAAAGGGTAATGCTCGTCTAGTTTTTGCTTTGGCCGATAGGAATGTGATTGTAGATATAAGGGATGAGGCATTGTTCATTAGATTTTTATCTGTTCCGCTCGATTTATTATTTATTTTATTGCTAGTTTGACTTGTGTCAACAGTTGCTGGAAATGTAGTATTTGATTCTGAACTTCTTAAAGCATCTGTTTAGCCTTATGTACATATATTATGTATATATATCCTCTTGTATAGGAAGGAAGTATGTAAGATTCCCAGAGGATATGAAAGTCCAGTAGTTCGTATTATCAAATTGAATTTAGAGGACCTCAGGCAATTTATCAGTATCATCATTTATCAGTATAAAAACCTGTCATCGGGAACTCATGATGTGTGACAGTCGTTGCTCGCTTAAACGAGCTCTCAGAAATGATATGGCAGAGTATGATTTCAACCCTAATTTGTGTAGAATGTCAACTATTAAAACGAAAGGAATAATCTGAGGGACATTCGATAAAATGATCCTTTCTATTCTGCCAATTAGTAGTCTAATTTCCAACTCGTTGTTATTGATTTTGATTATAGGGCATTTTTTATGACGTTAATAACTATAAGTTGAACAGAAAATACAGATTTGATTTTTATTTTTTTGTCTTTAAATAACATTAAACAAGGAAATAGATATCACCGATCGTTTCCTTTACTCGAGTAACACCAAATTAAAGAAAGACTGTCTTTCTAAACTATAGCTGCCGAGATAATGCGATTTTTTCCATGAGTTACAGTTTTCGCGCGATCGCGGTTCCGGTCGAGTCAACAACGACGCGTTGAGCTCTCATTGTCAACAGCCTCGTTCGCTACATTGAAGGCCTCTAATCGCCTGCTGTGTAAATGTGTTGTAAATGCTCATTAATTAATTAATCTTTTATGGTTATCCAATCAATACGAAAGGATCCACATATAATACAAGTAATAAACTGTAAAACGACGCCTATTTCATTTCCTAATGTTTCGCATTGACGATTTTTTGAACGAAGAAAAATAGATATCTGTCAGTACCTAGTCAATAGCCTAAATCCTAGAGAAATACTTTTTTTTTAAATTACATGAAATGATTTTCAGAAATTGATAGAAACAAATTCTACTATGGTAGGATAAAAAATGTAAAAGTTATTGCATTTTACAACTAATAAAAAATGATCGTAGCTGTATTTTAGCCAAGAGTTTGAATGAAAACATCTTGCTCGGTTAAATATCAAAATATTTCCCGTTTCGTAAGTTGACAAATTGATTGTGCGAAAATTAAGAAACGGATCGATTCGAAATTTGGTTCACTACACGTACTTTGATACGACTAATACTAACTTACTTACCACAGATCCTCGATATTTTAAGACGATTTCACCTAAAATTATAAAGGATTTAGGAAAAACGAATTTCTTCGCATCTTTTACTAATTTGCCATCTAACAATTGGATTTATCGTAACGTAACAGTTAAAATTTTACAGATAATTTTATTAGCTACAACTTTTTATTGAAACTTCTCACGCACGACAAATTGTTTCCAAGGTATAAAGTCAAGTGTAAAAAAAAGTCTTTTTTCCGTTTAATTGATATTTTTTTGGTGAAACAACGGAGGTAAAAATTGTATGAAAACTGCTTATTTTGTGCAAAGTATCGTTCCGAATCATATTATGCAAAAACATTTTTATTATTAATTTATTCCTGAAGAAATATTGAGTAGGCTGGACTAATTGTAATTACACATATGCATATACATGTAAAAAGCAACCTGCACGCGTGTACGCGCTGTGAATAACCAGATTTTAGGCTGTATGTAAACTTCGCGTCATTCGCGCAATACGTTCACCAAGCACGACTGAGATGCGTGGAAACCATTCTGAGTAAAGAGAGAACTTTCAATTTAAATTCAAATGACCCAGATCCGTTACTCTTCACTAGACATTGTAAGCTAAACTGAATAATAAAACCAGTGAATAAATATAGTCAGAGAAAGCAAAGAATATGTTTCTTGCTTGTTTTCACTATATCCTTTCTATTGTTCTTTGTAAAGGTGCCTACAATACGAATCCCTCGATTTATTGGAATTTAAGCAAACACTAATGCATGCGACATACATATTTAGATTAAGAATAATCCGAAATACAAGTTATGTCTTTGTTCCTCAGATAATGGTACGTGGACCCAGCTGTGGTTGATCACAGATTATCACGAGAAGGGTTCGCTGTTCGATTATTTGAATAGATCGACCGTTGATACGAACGGTATGATCAGGATGGCTCTGTCGATTGCCACCGGGTTAGCGCATCTTCACATGGAGATCGTTGGCACGCAAGGGAAACCAGCCATCGCTCACAGGGATCTCAAGTCGAAAAATATCCTCGTGAAGACGAATGGCACATGCGCGATCGGCGATCTTGGATTGGCCGTCAGACATGATGTAATAACAGACACCGTCGATATCCAACTAAATAATCGGGTGGGCACTAAGCGGTACATGGCACCTGAGGTAAATTATAAATTTAAAAAATTCACATTTTACCCATTCGCTTTGTTTATCGAAATAGCCAAATGTGTGAGAGATATATTGAAAATATTGAATTGTAATATATTAGGTTGTCCCAAAAGTTTCTTTCGTTTTATAAGAAAATAATAGATGCGCAACATTTTTCGTTTTATTCATTTTGTAGTAATACAACAAAATGGATCATACATAGTTCAATAAAATAATATAAAACAAAAGATGCTGTATTTATTATTCCCTTATAAAACGAAAGAAACTTTTAGGACAACCTGATATATATATATATATATCATATATAATAATATATATATATATCATATATAATAATATATATATATACTTATAAGTTATATAATATAAATTTGTCGTGTTTTTATATACACATGTATACGTATATGTACATAATAATATATACGCATATATATATATATATATACATGTGTATATAAAAATACGACAAATTTATATTATATAACTTATAAGTTATATTATATAACTATATTATGATACTATAAGTTATATTATATAACTCAACACATGTTCAAGTATTATAAGCATATAAATAGGGGAATCCTTATTCCTAAATTGAAAAGTAATTATGTTATGGAAATTTCTATTTCCATTTTTATTTCTGTAATACATATCAGATTTGAAAATATATTTCTCGTACCCTTGGTTCTGTTTTTATACAAATCTTTCTTACACCATTCTCATTTAATATAATTCAGATAAGTACATCAATTTCTTTTCCCATACAATTTAATTTAGATTTAATACGATTCAAATGGTGTCTTTTTCCTAAAAATATCAGTACGTAACCCAATCAAAGATTTGTTTCATCTACTGAATATATATTATAATAAGCAATTTACTTTGGACATTTCATAGATTTTTGAATATCATATGCATTTTGATGTTTGGGAACATCTCATAAAGGCATAAATACTCGCGGTTTATCGATTGTTATTGATTCAAATAAATACGACAAATTTTTCCTCCCTTAGAATTAACGATGACCGACCTACCTCGCAATATTTCAAACTTAAAAAAATTATGGAGAAGTCAATATTTTCTTACATATGCTATAAAACACATTTAATCGCTACTTTTTGGTCGCTACTTTTAATCGCTACTTTGAGATTGGTGTTTGGCATGGAAGCGGGAAAGGCAGCAAAGTTAACTCGCTGGGTCTCAAACTTTTCGCTACGGAGAAAGCCCATTTTCATTCTCCTCTTGAAGAGTGCGGTTGCTGAGAATTGTTACTTCTGCTTTTAGGTTCTCGAAGAGACGATAAACATGAACCACTTTGATTCCTTCAAGAGGGCTGACGTGTACGCTCTCGGGCTGATCCTCTGGGAGATCGCAAGGCGATGCAACGTCGGCGGAATTCACGACGAATATCAGCTGCCGTTTTACGACTTGGTGCCTTCTGATCCGACGATCGAAGAGATGCGTAAGGTTGTGTGTACCGACAGACAGAGGCCATCGATACCGAATCGGTGGCAGTCGATCGAGGTACGTGCCACGTGCTGCTTCTCAAAGCTTCTCAAAACTTCTACAAAGCTCTGATCCTTGCGTTCTTAAGAAAAGGGTTGAGCTTACGTCATAAACCTCACTTCGCGTTGTGAATTTGCTACTGTTTATGTTCGGGCTGTTCTACGTAAGACGTAAATAAGTCAAATCGTAGGTTTAAAATAATAGACAGCAGAGTAGAACTATTTTATTACATATAATTAGCTATTAGATACATAAAAGGAGTTTTCTGATTCTCTTTACTACTTACGATTTTTCATTTACATAATACAAGTTTACGTTCATTTAATCCGTAATCAAGCAGTCTGTTAGGTAATCAGTCAGTGGCATAAGTTATTCTAATAATGAGTCTCATTTACCCGCAGCGCTGAAAACATTTTAACTGTTATTCCACTGATCACTCCTAATAATATTAAAACAGAGGTTGGTTATTATAAGTGTTATTATAGTGTTATGAGTCAGAGCTGCGAATAGTGCGAGAACCCGGCGATTGTATTTTATAGAATACGGATTTTATATATATATATATATTATTTATATATATTATATTATTATATATATATTATTTATATATATATATTATTTATATATATATATATTATATATAAATATATGTCGGAGATGAAAGAACACCGGAGCTTTTGGAATTTTGGATAAACCCGCAACATTGTAACCTAGAGTCTACTATAGCTGTAATTAAACACTTGTAGTTATTCAATCCGATTGCAATTGTTCGCGAGTTGTGATAACGAGCTTGGGCTCGAGGCGACAGTCAGTCGCCGAACGTAGCCGCGGTCACGGGATGAACGCTTTGTCTAACAAAGGTATGGAGTAATTCTATAGCTCTCCTTAAAAGAAATATTTGTGGCGGCACGCGACAGTAAACATTCCAGCGGTTTCTGCCCCGTGGCTCGCCATACGCAGACCCTATTCTTCTAGCAAGATGATTGCCAAATGTCGATGCGTCTCCGGAGTACATGTTCAGCTAGCCTGAGGGCCCGTCATAAATCTTAGGATTTAGTTGACTAAAGTCCTTCAAACAGACAAATAGTCTTTGTCCCAACTACGGGAAAATAGAGGAGACCTATTTTTCAACGAACGGCGTCTCCCACTGGCAACTTTCTCTTGAGGGCGGCTAGCATCCTTTTCTAACCACCGATATGGAGATTGACCAATTAGCAGCAACGCCAAATTCCGTCACCTTCTGAACGAAAGCTATCCTCGACAAATCCGATGATCTCGTGTCCTCAGACACACACCATCATAGCTTTCCTCTGCAGCATCATCGCGACGGAGAGTCATTCTCTCGTGAGGTCGTATTAGTGAGTTACTTAGTGTCTGTACGCTCGGTGGATATTCCAAGTTTTCGCAAAGAGTCCGACTTAGATTTTTGTGAGCACGTACATCTATCATCCCGTTGACCGCGGATTCGTTATTGAACCTAAGACCAACATCACTAGTATCGCGAGTGTCCAACCGCCGCGGTTGTTTGTCGAGTCGGTAGTATCCATACTCGTATTAATAGACCGTACCTTCGTTATAACCCAACCCAACGATGGCCGATTCCAATGACGATTTATCAAACGCCCACAACCCTATTCCTGACGCTTCTCCGACATATATATAATCCGTATACATATATACATCTGTATTCTATAAATACCATAAAATAAATGCAAATTGGTTAGTAGGTAAATACGCGGTCAAACGTGATACGAAATCAGGACGCTAGGACTGTTGTTTGCGAGGACGAACCTGACTTGAAGGAACCTGTAAGATACGGACATAGGGAGTCATGAGAAATATTAGTATTGATTCTGTGTTTTGTTTAAGAAATGTCAACACAATTTGAGTAGTAAAATCGTATCATGTGGGTAATATTCAACTATCTTTGTGAAGGATTGCAAATCGTGGGTATTAGATCTAAAACAATTAGATTCGAATTTCGAACCCAGATATGGATATTATAATTATAATCAGAAAGATTATTATATGTGTAATTATGAGCGTGGATGCTCGATTTTGACACACTGGCAATACGGTAACTAGCGATGCCAAATAGAATCAAATGATCAAACGAATTTACCTGAGGTGAGGTTCGCTCGTAATTATATGAAGAGCTCCGTCCGAAGATATTACAAATGCAGTCTTCTTCTTACTCTTTAGTCGTTATAACCTTCGGAGCGAAAAAGTTGCTATCCTGCCCGCCACTCCCGTTTACACTCGTCGCTCTTTTGGATTTTAGATAGATCTAAAATTGTAATTTTAATCTATCGAACACGGAGAAAGACATTCTTATTACAGAATTTTTTGGTGGAGATCTGATTATCGATGCAGTTTTGTAGTCTTAAGGATTTTAGGAGGCAGCATTTTCTGAAACTAAGGGAATTTTGTGACTGGAGTCGGTTGGAATAGGAGAATCTACCTGCAAGGCGATTGGCGCGAAAAAATATAACCCTTCTGAGTTTGCAAAGAATGGTACTTGGATTCTTCTCACGTGGCGACGCGATGTGACGGTCTATTAGGTATCCAGCTCAATCGCAGCTGTGTTACTTACATTGCTTAGATAAAGGATATTTAAAACTAGAGAAATTTAAAATAAAAGGTGTTTCTGTTTTTTGAGTGCTCTTGAAGGTATCTCAAGAGTGTGGCGGAGGCAGGATATTTTCCATGCGTAATAATAGTAAGATAATTAAATGCATTATTTAGTGTAAGGACATGTAAAAAATATATGTTTCACAGTAGTTTATATTTCGTAATTATGCAATGTGAATTACATGTCACTGCCGCTATTTCTAAGATGCTTAGCTAATCTCCGAGTCGATACGATACTGTACGTTCGTCATCACGGAAAAGGATGAGCCTTTTACACTCCTACGAAGGCAAGGAGCTTGTTGCCATTCAATTAGACAAATTCTACGTCGTTCCTCGTCCACTATTTTATGCTTTTATATTCTACGTGGATGCTTCCAATGCAATAATGCATACGCTGCTACGGACGCAGAATTCACTGTAGTGTCACCGACAGTTTCTTTCGAAGATCTCGGAAACTAAGCCCTTACCGAAGATCGATGGTTATATGTACAGGAAAAAATTGTGTAAAGCGTTCTCAACGTACATATTTCAAAATCATTGTAATTGGGGAGGCGGTAACTTTTTGTATAGTTTCACTTGATTGACCAAATGAAGATTAGAATAAAGCGCAATATTCCATATATCAATCGATTCGTCAAAGATTATTTCACGTTAATGGAGAATCGTTCGCTATAACTGCGAGTGTCTATTCCAGAATGAAGTGTACCTAATCGGAATGACAATTTAATCGAAGTTCTTTTCGCTAACTGAACGTTTTGGAAACTGAGGCCGAACGGGGATCATATGTACAGGAATAACTCGTTCAAAATATTGATTTTAATGGTAAAATCTTGAAAAACCTTTCCCCAAAAGCAATAATAATCACAATAATATTCAATGCAATTTTAAAAATCGATAATGTTACCTAAACCAGGAAAAGACCCACACCAAACTACATCTTACAGACCAATGTCACTATTTCATGTGTTTTCTAAAATACTAGAGAAAATAATATACGATCGCCTAAAACCAACAATAGAGAAAGAAAAATTAATACCAGATCACCAATTTGGATTCAGAAACAAACACTTCAATATAGAGCAAATGCACAGGTTCATTAACGAAATAATACTAGCATTAGAAAACAAACAATACTGCACGGCCCTCTTTATGGACATAGAGAAAGCATTTGACAAAATAAACCACGAAAGACTACTACGAACAATCAGGAAACAATTCCCGGAGCAAATATACTAATTAATAAAATCTTACTTGAGCAGCAGAACCTTCGTAATAAAAATTAAGGACACATACTCTGAAGTCAAAGACATCAAGGCAGGGGTATTGCAAGGAAGCGTCTTAGGCCCGATATTATACACATTATAAATGGCCGACATATCAACATTTACCAAGAGCAAAATACTGACATTCGCGGACGACACAACGGTACTAGTCAGGCATACTAACCCTGTGACAGCAGTCGCATTAATACAAGAACATATCACAAAAATAGAAAAGTGGCTACAATATAAACGAATAAAAGAAAACTTCAGTAAATGCAACCATATTACATTTACACCAAGGAAACGGAAACCATCAAGTATCCAATTGAATGGGACGTGCATAACACAATGAAAGCAAGTTAAATACTTAGGAACACTTAGACTCACAACTGACATGGAAGCAACATGCTAAATCAATTATAGACTGAATACGAATAAAAAGAAGACAAATTTACTGGTTAACTGGTCGAAATTCTAAACTCAGCATAGAAAATAAATGAAAAATATACAAAACTATAATAAAACCAATTTGGGCGTATGGAATACTACTATGGAGCACTGCAGCAATGAGTCACATAAATAAACTAGAGTTGTTACAATCGATAATATTTAGAACAATAGTCCTAATCCAGAAAGACCAGAAATACCACTGTTCGAAGAAGAAATCGGCAGATACGCAAAAAATACAAGGAAAGAATGACAACACACCCAAACCAGCTGGCTGCTGAAGCGAGCAAACCCACATAAAAAGAAGACCAAAAAGAAAACATCCCATTGACCGCACTAAAGAAATAAAATAGACAAACTCCAAGATGGTATCCCGTTGGGGGTAAACGTCCACATATTATTCAACAATAAAGTTAGAAAAATTTATCAAACGTCCAAGTGGACAAAGTATGAAGTACGATTAAATGAGAGAAAAAAGAGTATTGATCTTGACAACATATTTCAAGGTCATTGAAATTAATAAGGTGTGCCCTAATTGTTACATGTAACTACTAACTTTGTTACAGTTATACTTATAAAAATCAAAACTTACATGAATATCCACAGTCCACTTATATTCGAATATATTTTATTACACATAGAAGATTCTTTATCATTCTCCCTTCGGGTTTACAGAGTTCTACTTCTTACATAATAGTCCTTATTCTGCATCTCGTTATCTATACTTAAGCTAGCTTATCTTATCTTATATTTCGTAACAAATTCTTTAACCAATTAACTGCCTTTGACGTGTATACACGTCAATTTAAAACTTTATTTCGGTGCGGTTGATGTGTATGCTCGTCGTGTAAATTAAAAAATTACCATTTACTATAAAAACCCAAAATTTTAATAAAAAGTAATATAAATGACATTTAGTGGTATGTTCCCTTTATACTTCCACTAAAACTTACGTATTCCGTTTTATACATATACATATTTTTATTTTATGCATATTTTATACACACATATATAAAAAAAAGAGTTTGATTATTTGATTATTTTTTTTGTCATATCGGTTACGCTTCGTATAATGTATTGCTTTTTATAAATTGAGTTGATTATTTTCCCTAATGCATCGGCTATTCCTCGAATTGTTTTGTGTACTTTACTTTATTATTTTTTTGCAATTTTTACATTTTTAATAGTAATACCTTTTTTCAACAACAAATTATTAATTTTTTATCGAATAGAAATGTAATCCTTCCTCTCATAAAATTTATAATGGGAGCATTTACCTTGTGGTCGACGTGTATACTCGTCATTGCTTGATTTTACCTGCGCACTTTATAAGGAACTTTTGAAACTAAACTCCGCAGTTAATAGGTTAAAAGAAATTGTGAATTAAATTCCCTATATTTTGCTTGATCATTAATGATATGCAAAGGTGTGTATGATAATTGTAGAAAGTTTTATATAATCTATGATACACGTGTCGTTTGGTTTCTTTTCCAGGCGTTACAAGTTATGTCGAAGGTGATGAAGGAGTGTTGGTATCACAACGCGGCAGCTAGGCTAACCGCGCTTAGGATTAAAAAATCTCTCGCAAACTACGGTGCGATGGAGGACTTGAAGTGAAACGAGGAGAATCAGCAGGTCGTCGAAATGACCGGAATACTAGAAGTGCTCGAAACATACTTGGACATTTACTTTAATTGTAATACTTTTATCGCAATAACACTTTTAAGTGCCGTGTTACTCCGCGAGTGAGCGAGAGAAAGAGAAGGGAGAGAGAGAGGAGAGAGAGAGAGAGAGGGAGAGAGAGAGAGAGAGAGAGAGAGAGAGAGCGAGAGAG